TTCCCCCCATTGCCCCCCATTGCCCCCCATTGCCCCCATCACCCCCATTTCCCCCATTGCCCCCATCCCCCCCATTGCCCCCCATTGACCCCCATTCCCCCCATTGCCCCCATTCCCCCCCATTCCCCCCCATTGCCCCCCATTGCCCCCATAGGCCCCCATTGCCCCCCATTGCCCCCCATTGCCCCCCCATTCCCCCCATTGCCCCCCATTGCCCCCATTGCCCCCATTGCCCCCATTGCCCCCATTCCCCCCATTGCCCCCATTGCCCCCCATTGCCCCCCATTGCCCCCATTCCCCCCATTGCCCCCATTCCCCCCCATTGCCCCCATTGCCCCCCATTGCCCCCATTGCCCCCATGGCCCCATTGCCCCCATTGCCCCCATTGCCCCCATAGACCCCCATTACCCCCCATTGCCCCCATAGACCCCCATTACCCCCATTAACCCCCCCATAGCCCCCATTGCCCCCATTGCCCCCCATTGCCCCCCATTGCCCCCATTGCCCCCCATTGCCCCCCAGCGTGGCGCAGGAGCTCAGCAGCCCCGAGCAGAGGGCCCAGGCCCCCCCCGGCTCCCACTGCATCCAATGGGAGATCCCCAAGTGCTGGAGGGGGGGGGGGGGGCGCAAGGTGAGGGGGGGGGGCATCTATGGGTGCTTGAGGGGCAGGGGGGGGGCACCTATGGGTGCTTGGGGGGCGGGGGGGGCTCCCATGGGTGCTTGGGGGGGGGGGGGGCAACCCTGGGGGGGGGGGGGGCACCCATGGGTGCTTGGGGTGGGGGCACCCATGGGTGCTATGGGGCGGAGGGGGGGGCACCCATGGGTGCTTGGGGGGGGGCACCCATGGGTGCTGGGGGGGGGGGGGGGCACCCATGGGTGCTGGGGGGGGGGGGGGAACCCATGGGTGCTTGGGGGGGGGGGCGGCATATATGTGTTTCCCATATATATATCCCATGTCATTCCCATGTCGTTCCCATGTCCATCCCATGTCATTCCCGTGTCCATCCCATGTCCCTCCCATGTCATCCCCATGTCATTCCCATGTCATTCCCATGTCATTCCCATGTCATCCCCATGTCCATCCCATGTCGTTCCCATGTCATTCCCATGTCCATCCCATGTCCATCCCATGTCATTCCCATGTCCATCCCATGTCATTCCCATGTCATTCCCATGTCCATCCCATGTCATTCCCATGTCATTCCCATGTCATTCCCATGTCATTCCCATGTCCATCCCATGTCATTCCCATGTCATTCCCATGTCATTCCCATGTCATTCCCATGTCATCCCCATGTCATTCCCATGTCATTCCCATGTCATTCCCATGTCCATCCCATGTCATTCCCATGTCATTCCCATGTCATTCCCATGTCATTCCCATGTCATTCCCATGTCATTCCCATGTCATTCCCATGTCATTCCCATGTTATCCCATGTCATTCCCATGTTATCCCATGTTATCCCATGTCATTCCCATGTCATTCCCATGTTACCCCATGTCATTCCCATGTCATTCCCATGTCATTCCCATGTCATTCCCATGTCCATCCCATGTCATTCCCATGTCCATCCCATGTCATTCCCATGTCATTCCCATGTCATTCCCATGTCATTCCCATGTCCATCCCATGTCATCCCCATGTCATTCCCATGTCATTCCCATGTCATTCCCATGTCATTCCCGTGTCATTCCCATGTCATTCCCATGTCGTTCCCATGTCATTCCCATGTCATTCCCATGTCATTCCCATGTCATTCCCATGTCATTCCCATGTCATTCCCCATCCCATCCCATGTCATTCCCATGTCATCCCCATGTCATTCCCATGTCATTCCCATGTCATTCCCATGTCATTCCCATGTCATCCCCATGTTATCCCATGTTACCCCATGTTATCCCATGTCATCCCATGTCATTCCCATGTCCATCCCATGTCATTCCCATGTCCATCCCATGTCATTCCCATGTCATTCCCATGTCATTCCCATGTCATTCCCATGTCCATCCCATGTCATTCCCATGTCATTCCCATGTCATTCCCATGTCCATCCCATGTCATTCCCATGTCATTCCCATGTCCATCCCATGTCATTCCCATGTCATTCCCATGTCATTCCCGTGTCATTCCCATGTCATTCCCATGTCATTCCCATGTCATTCCCATGTCATTCCCATGTCATTCCCATGTCATTCCCATGTCCATCCCATGTCATTCCCATGTCATTCCCATGTCATTCCCATGTCCATCCCATGTCATTCCCATGTCGTTCCCATGTCATTCCCATGTCATTCCCATGTCGTTCCCATGTCATTCCCATGTCGTTCCCATGTCGTTCCCATGTCATTCCCATGTCGTTCCCATGTCATTCCCATGTCATTCCCATGTCATTCCCATGTCATTCCCATGTCATTCCCATGTCATTCCCGTGTCCATCCCATGTCATCCCCATGTCATTCCCATGTCCATCCCATGTCATTCCCATGTCCATCCCATGTCATTCCCATGACATTCCCATTCTTCCCATGCCATTCCCATGTCATTCCCATGTCATTCCCATGTCATTCCCATGTTATCCCATGTTATCCCATGTCATTCCCATGTCATTCCCATGTCATTCCCATGTCATTCCCATGTCATTCCCATGTCATTCCCATGTCCATCCCATGTCATTCCCATGTCATTCCCATGTCATTCCCACGTCATTCCCATGTCCCTCCCATGTCATTCCCATGTCGTTCCCATGTCGTTCCCATGTCATTCCCATGTCATTCCCATGTCATTCCCATGTCATTCCCATGTCATTCCCATGTCATTCCCATGTCATTCCCATGTCATTCCCATGTCATTCCCATGTCATTCCCATGTCATTCCCATGTCATTCCCATGTCATTCCCATGTCATTCCCATGTCATACCCATGTCATTCCCATGTCATTCCCATGTCATTCCCATGTCATTCCCATGTCATTCCCATGTCATTCCCATGTCCATCCCATGTAATTCCCATGTCCATCCCATGTCGTTCCCATGTCATTCCCATGTCATTCCCATGTCCATCCCATGTCATTCCCATGTCATTCCCATGTCATTCCCATGTCATTCCCATGTCATTCCCATGTCCATCCCATGTCATTCCCATGTCCATCCCATGTCATTCCCATGTCATTCCCATGTCATTCCCATGTCATTCCCATGTCATTCCCATGTCCATCCCATGTCGTTCCCATGTCATTCCCATGTCATTCCCATGTCATTCCCATGTCATCCCCATGTCATTCCCATGTCATTCCCATGTCATTCCCATGTCATTCCCATGTCCATCCCATGTCATTCCCATGTCATCCCCATGTCATTCCCATGTCATCCCCATGTCATTCCCATGTCATTCCCATGTCCCTCCCATGTAATTCCCATGTCCATCCCATGTCCATCCCATGTCATTCCCATGTCATCCCCATGTCATTCCCATGTCATCCCCATGTCATTCCCATGTCATTCCCATGTCCCTCCCATGTAATTCCCATGTCCATCCCATGTCCCTCCCATGTCATTCCCATGTCATTCCCATGTCATTCCCGTGTCCCAGCTCTCGGCCGCCTCCCCCCCGGCTGCTCTGGGTCCCGTCGCCGCCCGTTTCGAGCTCCCGGCCCGATCCTGCTCGGGGCTGAGGCTCCGCTTCCTGCGCCTGGCACCGGAAGGGGAGGGGCGATCCGAGGCCCCGCCCCCCCGCTGGCTGCGCTACGTCACCCACAGCGACTCTTACGTCATGAGGATGGAGAAACCCCCTCCCCCCCCGCGCCATCCCAGCCAACAGCCCGTGGGGACACATTGATCCCCCCATTGGGACCCATTGACCCCCCCATTGATCCCCATTGACCCCCCCCTTGACCCCCTCATTGATCCCCATGGACCCCCCATTGACCCCCATGGACCCCCCCCCATTGATCCCCATTGACCCCCCCCATTGGGACCCATTGATCCCCCCATTGATCCCCATTGACCCCCCCATTGATCCCCATTGACCCCCCCATTGGGACCCATTGATCCCCATTGACCCCCCCATTGATCCCCATTGACCTCCCCATTGACAGCCATTGGGACCCATTGATCCCCATTGACCCATTGATCCCCATTGACCCCCCCATTGATCCCCATTGACCCCCCCATTGGGACCCATTGATCCCCCCATTGGGACCCATTGATCCCCATTGATCCCCATTGACCCCCCCCATTGATCCCCATTGACCTCCCCATTGACAGCCATTGGGACCCATTGATCCCCCCATTGGGACCCATTGACCTCCCCACTGACAGCCATTGGGAGCCATTGACCCCCCCATTGGGACCCATTGATCCCCGTTGACCTCCCCATTGACAGCCATTGGGACCCATTGACCTCCCCATTGGGACCCATTGAGACCCATTGATCCCCCCATTGGGACCCATTGATCCCCATTGACCTCCCCATTGACAGTTATTGGGACCCATTGATCCCCCCATTGGGACCCATTGATCCCCCCATTGGGACCCATTGATCCCCATTGGGACCCATTGATCCCCCCATTGGGACCCATTGATCCCCATTGACCTCCCCATTGACAGCCATTGATCCCCACTGACCCCCCCATTGGGACCCATTGATCCCCATTGGGACCCATTGATCCCCACTGACCACCCCATTGGGATCCCCATTGACCCATTGATAGCCATTGGGACCCATTGACCCCCCCATTGGGACCCATTGATAGCCATTGGTACCCATTGAGCTCCATTGATACCAGTTGACTCCCATTGATACCCATCGACACCAATTGATTCCCATCGACCTCCATTGATACCCATTGACTCCCATTGATACCAATTGACTCCCATTGACAACCATTGATTCCCATCGACCTCTATTGATACCAATTGACTCCCATTGAGCTCCATTGATAGCAATTGACTCCCACTGAGCTCCATTGATTCCCATCGATCTCCATTGATACCCATTGACTCCCATTGACAACCATTGATTCCCATTGATCTCTATTGACACCAATAGACTCCCATTGACAACCATTGAGCTCCATTGATACCAATTGACTCCCATTGAGCTCCATTCATTCCCAGTGACACCGACTCCCATTGACAACCATTGATTCCCATCGACCTCTATTGATACCAATTGACTCCCATTGACAACCATTGATACCAATTGACTCCCATTGAGCTCCATTGATTCCCATTGACACTGACTCCCATTGACAACCATTGAGCTCCATTGGCTCCCATTGACCTCCATTGACACCAATTGACTCCCACTGGTACCAATTTACTCCCATTGACAATCATTGACCTCCATTGATACCAATTGACTCCCATTGGTACCAATTGACTCCCATTGAGCTCCATTGATACCAATTGACTCCCATTGATACCAATTTACTCCCATTGACAATCATTGACCTCCATTGATACCAATTGACACCCATTGATAGCAGTTGACTCCCATTGAGCTCCATTGATTCCCAATGACACCGACTCCCATTGACAACCATTGATTCCCATTGAGCTCTATTGATACCAACTGACTCCCATTGATACCAATTGACTCCCATTGATACCAATTTACTCCCATTGACAATCATTGATACCAATTGACAACCATTGATAGCAGTTGACTCCCATTGAGCTCCATTGATTCCCATTGACACTGACTCCCATTGACAACAATTGAGCTCCATTGATTCCCATTGACCTCCATTGATACCAACTCCCATTGAGCTCCATTGATACCAATTGACTCCCATTGATACCAATTGACTCCCATTGAGCTCTATTGATACCAATTGACTCCCATTGATACCAATTGACTCCCATTGACCTCCATTGATACCAACTGACTCCCATTGAGCTCCATTGATACCAATTGACTCCCATTGATACCAATTGACTCCCATTGAGCTCCATTGATACCAATTGACTCCCATTGATACCAATTGACTCCCATTGATACCAACTGACTCCCATTGAGCTCTATTGATACCAATTGACTCCCATTGATACCAATTGACTCCCATTGACCTCCATTGATACCAACTGACTCCCATTGAGCTCCATTGATACCAATTGACTCCCATTGATACCAATTGACTCCCATTGATTCCCAATGACACCAACTCCCACTGACAACCATTGCTTCCCATTGACACCAATTGACTCCCCTTCACCCCCCCATTGTCCCCCCAATCCGGCGACCCCCATATCACATCCCAACCCCCAATAAAGACTCTCAAAACACCCCCATGTGTGTTCCCATCCCTCCCCCCCCATCACTGCTCCATCCCAACCCCCCCCAACGGCTCCCAGAGCTTGGGGGCCACCCCCCCATAGGCCCGGTAGCGATGGTTGAGGCGGGCCCGGCCGTGGAGCCCATAGCGGGTGCTGAGGGCTCCTTGTGGGGCTGGGGCCCCAAAGAGCACCCGACGGGCCCGGGCCAGCACCAAGGCCATGGCACAGAGGGCACAGGGCTCCCGGGTCAGGATCACGTCCCAGCCCTGGCACAGGTAACCCCCGGCCCCATCGAGCCCATTGGCCCCATTGTCCCCATTGATCCCATTGCCCCCATCGAGCCCATTGTCCTCATTGATCCCATTGCCCCCATTGAGCCCATTGTCCCCATTGAGGCCATTGCCCCCATTACCCCCATTGGCCCCATTGAGCCCATTGTCCCCATTGAGCCCATTGTCCCCATTGAGCCCAGTGTCCCCATTGAGGCCATTGTCCCCATTGCCCCCACTGAGTCCATTACCCCCATTGTCCCCATTGAGCCCATTGCCCCCATTGACTCCATTGCCCCCATTGACTCCATTGCCCCCATTGTCCCCATTGCCCCCATTGAGCCTATTACCCCCATTGTCCCCATTACCCCCATTGAGCCCATTACCCCCATTGGCCCCATTGCCCCCATGACCCCCATTGTCCCCATTGAGCCCATTGCCCCCATTGAGCCTATTACCCCCATTGGCCCCATTGCCCCCATTACCCCCGTTGCCCCCATTGAGCCCATTGCCCCCATTGGCCCCATTGCCCCCATTGGCCCCATTGCCCCCATGACCCCCATTGTCCCCATTGCCCCCATTCACCTCATTACCCCCATTCCCATTACCCCATTGAGCCCATTGCCCCCATTGAGCCCATTACCCCCATTGTCCCCATTACCCCCATTGCCCCCATTCCCCCCATTACCCCCATTGCCCCCATTACCCCCATTGCCCCCATTCCCCCCCCATCCTCTCCGTCGCCGCGCCACCTCCTCCAAGCACCTCATGGTTGCGTGCCCCAATGGGTGCCCCCCATTTCTCCCATCTCCCGCCGCCGCCACCACTCGCCCGCTCTGTGGGTCCAGCACCGCCCCCCCGGCCGGCACCATCCCAGCCCTGGCCCCATTCATTGCCGCTGCCACGGCGGCCGCCATTGCCCCATAGACGGCGGGGAGCTCGCTGGGGTGCAACGGGGGGGGGTGACGGGAAGATGGGGGGTGAGGGGGTTCCCCCCGTTGTACCCATGGCCAAAGGAGATCCCCCCCCATAGCCAGCACCGCCTCCGTCTCGGCGCCCGGTTGGGGGGCGCGGGAAGGGACCAGCACGCGGAAAGGGGGGCCCAGGCCATGGGGGGAGATGGAAGGGCCCAAGAGGATGTGGAGGGGGGGCAAAGGCGGCGAGGTGATGTCATCGGTGATGTCATCGGTGATGTCATCGGTGACGGCGGCGCTGGGGCCCTTGCTGACAATGGAAGTGTCGCCGGCGGTGGTGACGTCATCGGTGACGTCACCGGGGCCCTTGGTGATGATGGACGTGTCGTTGGTGATGTCGGTGACGTCATCGCCGGTGTGGGTGACGTCATCGGTGGCCTTGGAGACGATGGAAGCACCTTTGGTGGTGTCAGTGACGTCATCGCCGGTGTGGCTGACGTCATCGGTGATGTCATCGATAGCCTTGGAAACAATGGAAGCGCCTTTGGTGCTGGCGGTGACGTCATCGCCGGTGTGGGTGACGTCATCGGTGATGTCATCAGTGGCCATGGAGACGATGGAAGCGCCTTTGGTGCTATTGGTGACGTCATCACCGGTGTGGGTGACGTCACTGGTGATGTCATCGGTGGCCTTGGTGACGATGGACATGTCGTTGGTGATGTCGGTGACGTCATCGCCGGTGTGAGTGACGTCATCGGTGATGTCATCGGTGGCCATGGAGACGATGGAAGCGCCTTCGGTGCTGTCGGTGACGTCATCGCCGGTGTGGGTGACGTCATCGGTGATGTCATCGGTGGCCTTGGAGACGATGGAAGCGCCTTTGGTGCTGTCGGTGACGTCATCGCCGGTGTGGGTGACGTCATCGGTGATGTCATCGGTGGCCTTGGAGACGATGGAAGCGCCTTTGGTGCTGTCGGTGACGTCATCGCCGGTGTGGCTGACGTCATCGGTGATGTCATCGATAGCCTTGGAAACAATGGAAGCGCCTTTGGTGGTGTCGGTGACGTCATCACCGGTGTGGATGACGTCACTGGTGACGTCACCGGGGCCCTTGGTGACGATGGACGTATCGTTGGTGATGTCGGTGACGTCATCGCCGGTGTGGGTGACGTCATCGGTGATGTCACCCCTGCCCTTGGAAACAATGGAAGCGCCTTTGGTGCTGTCGGTGACATCATCGGTGATGTCATCGATAGCCTTGGAAACAATGGAAGCGCCTTTGGTGCTGTCGGTGACGTCATCGCCGGTCTGGGTGACGTCATCCGTGACGTCACTGGGGCCCTTGGTGACGATGGACGTGTCGTTGGTGATGTCGGTGACGTCATCGCCGGTGTGGGTGACGTCATCAGTGATGTCATCGGTGGCCTTGGAGACGATTAAGGTGTCGTTGGGGACGGTGGTGACGTCACACACGATGTCCGTGACGTCATCGGTGACGTCACCGGTGCCCTTGGTGGCGATGGAGGCGTCATTGGTGACGTCACACGTGATGTCGGTGACGTCATCGGTGACGTCACCGGCGGCTCCGTCTCCTGTGGTGGCTGAAGAGCCCAAGGATCAGCGGAACCCCCAGTGCCCCCCATCCCCATCCCCCCCATTCCCCCCCATTGAGCCCCATCACCCACCATCCCCCCCCATAGGCCCCCTCCCCCTTTCCCCCCCCAGACCCCCATAGCCCCCCATAGACCCCCATAGCCCCCTATAGCACCCCATTCCCCCCCATTGACCCCCATCCCCCCCATTAACCCCCATTGACCCCCATCACCCCATAGACCCCCACCACCCCATAGACCCCCATCACCCCATTGACCCCCATCCCCCCATTGACCCCCATTGACCCCCATCCCCCCCATTGACCCCCATCCCCCCCATAGCCTCCATTGACCATCACATTGACCCCCATTGACCCCCATTCTCCCGATAGCCCCCCATTGACCCCCATAGCCCCCTATAGCCCCCCATTCCCCCCCACTGACCCCAACCCCCCCATCCCCCCATTGACCCCCATTGACCCCCATGACCCCCATAGCCCCCCATTGACCCCCATCCCCCCATAGCCCCCCCATTGACCCCCATTCCCCCCATTGACCCCCATCCCCCCATTGACCCCCATAGCCCCCTATAGGCCCCCATTCCCCCCCATTGACCCCCATTCCCCCCATTGACCCCCATACCCCCCTATAGACCCCCATTGACCCCCATAACTCCCCATTGACCCCCATCCCCCCATTGACCCCCATGACCCCCATTGACCCCCATAGCCCCCCATTCACCCCCATTCCCCCCATTCCCCCCCATCAGCCCCCATTGACCCCCATCCCCCCCATTGACCCCCCCCATCCCCCCCATTGACCCCCATCCCCCCATTGACCCCCATCCCCCATTGACCCCCATCCCCCCCATTGACCCCCATCCCCCCATTGAACCCCATCCCCCCATTGACCCCCATAGCCCCCTATAGACCCCCACTGACCCCCATAACTCCCCCC